AAAAAATTGTTATTCTTTCAATTCACTTTAAAATCACATTATCGTTTTTTACTTTTAAGAGATGTTTACAAGAGAAAAAAAACAGAGAAAAATCAAAAATTTATTTTTACAATTTACTAAGCTAGAAACAAACATCGAAGTTTTATTGTTCATGATAAACGGATTTATGCAAATGATTTAAAAACACTTATAATTAAAGACGTGGCGACCTGAAAAGACCCACGTGAGAAGACGCGACGAACATGCCGTGCTTTCATCGTCTTCAACCGCCGGGACGAGTGTACGGCTGCATGCATGCTTGCTCTCAGTCCATCATTCTTTTGTTAAGCTTATTGCTTCACCAGGAGAGATTAACGTTTGCGATGCGTTTGGAGAAACTTTTTGTTGAATTTGATGCTAAAGCTGGTGTTCCTATATGGCTCTCTTCCAAGGCCACCGGAGCGTTGTTCCACCTCCTGTTCTTGGCACAGATTCGTTCCCTTGGTATGTAAATGTAATTGAATTTGCACTCCAACTCTAAGAATCTAGGTTATGGAACATTATGTTGTGGTCTAGATACAGAACATAGCTTTCGACATCAGTATCTTTTTAGTCAGGGGGAGTTTTGGTTAGCAGATCTTACACAAAAATATGAGTGTGCTATGTATCTCTGCATTTAGCTTCCCTGTTTTATGAAGTTGGTATGTTGTTGGGTGATACACAACCTGTTCGAGAGATGTTGTGTATATCTTTAGTTTGTCAGAGGAAAAGACATAGATCTTTACAGCTTGTTTCATCAAACGGGAATGTCATTTGACAGCTGTTGCTTCTTGTTGGTCGGTCTTTCATCTGTCAATATCAGTTATGATGCTTTGGAGTGTATGAAGAGAATAGCTCAGAGTTTTCCATTACTCCCTGTTCCAAATGCATTTTTTTATTTGGTTTGTTATGATTTTGTCACGGCTGCACACATAGGATTTTGTTTCTTCAAATTGGATGGTTTGTCATGTAAGACATGCTTCATCAAGGTGTGTTCTACGACAGGAGGAGATTGTTTCTTTGATTCATGAAGATGCTTATGGTTTTGCAAAGGGATTTTGCTTCAATGAAAGGATATATGGCTGGTTGAAGTGTTCTCTATTTGATCTTTTGGAATATGGTGGAGTAAAGATCTATGATGCTGACGTATTTGGATTGCGTGCCACACATGAACTGCTGTTGAAGCGGACTTTACCTCACCTTATGCTACACGAACAAAGCCGCGACTATGATTTTATAGAACATATGCTTGTGGCTTGTTGTGTTCACATGGAGTTTCAAATCCAAGATGTAAATCCCTTCCATCTTGAAACGGAGTATTAAATATCATATATTGATTTATATTAAACCGGTTTGTTCCGGTAAAGGATTAGACTATAATATATGCTTTGTATGCATCATTATGTGTGCTTTCAGAAATAGAAGAACTTAATTTCCAAATCTCTCTCTCTCGATCTTCATCTTCTTGAGTGAGAGAATTCTCTTGTTTCTTTTCAATCTCATTAACTAATATTTTCACATTTCGGAATGCTCAATACAATTTATTTCTTTAATCCTTGTATTTTTTTTTTCTTTGCTAGGTATCATATACGGAAAATGAGAGAGTCCAAACTAATATAATCAATATATAAATATGGATCAATTTACAAGTTTTACAAGCTCAAGAAATTACTGATACGTATCATAAAACTAAATGAATCTTGTAAAATATTCAAAATTATCTGATAAGATTTTGGATTATTGTTAGGATATTCTATATTAGAACTATATAGATAAGATTTTGATTATTATTAGGATATTCTATATTAGAACTATGGATAATTTTACACATGTATATATAGATAATATGGACATCTTAATTCATTGTTAATTAGTTTTAAGTAAGAAATCTATAATATTGTATAGTACCATAATAATTAAAACACATGAATATCCAAAATAAAAATAGAATTTAGTTAGAAATGAGTGAGCCAAAAAATAGCCAACATTTCGGAAAGAATGTATAACTTTAGATTTTCCGTATCTTTTAGTTTAAAATACTTAAAACATACTAATGATCTTAGAAGTTAGAATGTCATTGTTATTCAGAAAAGAAAAAAAAAAGTTAATCGTAGAATGTCATTCTTGCTCATGTATGCTCTGCACCATTTTCTTTTGTTTTTGGAAAAGAACAGAAAAGATTTTATTCATTTAGAAAACGAGCTGTATTTTACAGGTCAACCTCAACAAAACCAAACCAAGTCACATTCTCGTAC